CTCCCTCCCTCCCCCTTTCCCTCATCCACCCTCCCTCCCTCCCTCTGCCCTTCTCCCCTGCTCAAGCTCTGTCTCTAAAAAATCACAAGTGTAAAAAAAAAAAGTATACTAAACATATCTGAGTAATTTAAAAAGCTTCTACATAAAGTAGTGAAAATGGAGGTAAAATAATGTAAAACTTAATATCTACATACTACGTGTAGATAGATAACATTTAAGGTAACTATGTCTCCTACTATCCTCATTTAACTCATTTGTTATGGACAGTGTTAATTATTAGTTCTAAAATACAATAATTGTTGGCTTCATTTGATGGCTTTTTACATGTTTACCATTATATGACTTAAGTAATAATTGTAATTCTTCATCAGGGTAATTTAAGCCAAAAGGCATTAGGTATTTGTCCAAAGAGAGCAGTTAATTAGCATGATAAGTGTATTCCTAAGTTCATAGAGTGGCCTGTGTATTTAGACTCACTCTGGGAAATGATGATTTTATTCTTTTAAGCAACTGGTTAATATATAAGAGAACATCATTTCAGAAGAATATTTTCTACATTACATTTCTTAACAGTAGATATTGTTTGTATCAAGGTCTTTTCACAGCAGTCTCTATCACAGTAACCTCTGTGTCAAATCTTAGATAATTGGGTTCTTCAGAATACAAGAGACATTATCTGTCTAGTCTGTCTCCATTCTCAGCTTTATAAAGGTAGCCTCTTGATCTTTAAAAGAAAAAATCTAAAGTGTATGACACATAAATGCAGGGTTACAAAACTTTTCATACTTGTTCCAGTGACTCTAGCTTTTTGCCCATGGATTTAAGAAAACACTTTAATAAATACAATATATTCATTACCCCCAAATAGAAAAATAAAGTAGGTGACAAAGGAAACGTGGCTTTTCTATTCATTGTGCTTGGTTTGTTCACTGACAGCTTCTCTCTTTCCAAGTAGGATGATTTCAGTTCCTCTTGAAATTAGAAATTCAATTTCTGTCTATTCAAGAAATAGTCCAATCTCTTAGGATTTACCTCCAGCCAGTGACATAGTTTAGTTAATCTAGTCTGAGACCGAATGGAATTGAGTGGTCACTAGGCATGTGACTTTCCTCCTATTCTTATCTGCCTATGGTAGGTGGGCTCATGCCTGAAATGGTAGCACTGTTTCCAGATCTTTCTGACTCACACTGTATCTGTCTTTAGCCCAAGACCAACTCTCTTAAAAAGCTTTGTTCCTGCAGAATTTGCTAGGTTAGGTATATCTGTAGTTGAAAATGTACTTGGTGTGACAGTTGGATAAATACACTGAAAGCAACTGAATTTTTTATTATAAAGGGTGAATTTTATGGTGTGTGAATTATATCTCATGCTTGCTTCAGCAGCACATATACTAAAAAATTGGAGTTATAAAGTTCTCAATAAAGTTGTTAGTTTTTAACTTCATGGTATTCAATGAAGATTATTTTTACCATAATAATAATAAATAATACCATATAGTTCTTTGAGAAGAAGGTATATTAATAAGGTTAGGAACCAACTCTTGAGAGTGGCTAAAACAAAGTTGTCAGTGAACTATAAGCAGACTGATTTTGCAATGTCTTTTGATTTAGCCTGTTAATTCTTTAAATTTAGCAAGAGAGTACATTACAGATGACTAAATATTTAGGCAACAAATAACCTATAAGGACATGAACAACCGTGACACTCATCTGTAACATTTCCATTTTATTGTATGTATGAGCTCATTTTACATATATGAATATACAGATGGCTTCAGATATATTAATTCAGTCACATAATGGAATCTTAACTATTATTCTATAAAATTTAAGCCACTAGTACAGAGTTACTTGCTTAAATGAAGGTCATATTTTATTAATGCATGCAGTTTTGTTTTCATACTGCCATGAGAACAGTAAAAAAAATTTGTTTTTCTGTAAATTGAATATATTTTTACTATATCTGAAACAAATGAATTCTGTATTAGTAGAGTTTTAGAATGTTTAGTATTGCACACAAAGATGAATCAGATTGGGTATTAAATCGAGCTATACTTTTTTTTTTTTTTTCTACTTTTACATCTTCAAGATTCTACAGAATGAGCAACTAGATGAAATATCTCCCTTGGGTAATGAGGAAGTTTCAGCAGTTAGCCAAGCATGGTTTACAACTAAAGAAGATAAAGATTCTCTGACTAACAAAGGTAAGCTATATTGTGAATTTTAGTGTCCACTGGAAAAAAATGGAGGTAAAAAGATCTGGTAGTCATCAGGATTTTGAATTGGGCCTTCATAGTTGTGATTGAGTAGTTACAGAAATTGAGTTTACCATGAAACCAACATTTGTTTTTCAGTACTTGATCATTTCTCTGACATGCAGTAAATTATAAACAGATGTCCATTAAAAGACAGTATAGTTACTGCATGGGAGTGGGAAGACCAGTCTTTTCAGAGATCTAACTTTGGTCTGATAGGCAGCTTAGCAGCTTAAACTAAGTGTTTTATAGTGCTGCAGAGTTCATAAGGATTGTTAGGGAACTGCTACAACAAAGTGCAGTCATGGATATGCCACTCTGAAATAAGAAAAGGAAGCAAAAGTAAGTAAATTGATTGTTTTCAACCACTGCATAGTAAATACTCATTAAGAATGTATTATTCACTTGGTATCCATTGGATTATGTTTACCTTGTCCTAGAATCTTTTGTGCACATTCTTTTGCCCATAAAATTTATTTTTTGCATTGGATAAATTTTTCAGAAAGTTTGGAGCATGATTTGGCTTTTATAATTCTCATGCCTTTTTTTAGCAGGCTTTTATTATTGAATAAGAAATATAACTGATAGGAAGTAATAATTTTTTTTCCTTTTACTTCTTACTGTCTTTATTTAGTAAGATTGAATGTATTCTGTTTTAAAAACCAGAGGTTACAAAAGCAACTACGTGGAGATCTTTCAGATTTCAGATGAAGGAGAAATTAGCTGCCTTTTATTCACACAGATAATTTATTTAATCACAAAGCAAATCTTTAGTGTTTTATCCATCTTGAAGGATAACATTTTCTATAATATTATTTGTTTTCCTTTAAAGGACATAAATGGAAACAGGGGATGTGGTCTAAGGAGGAAATTGATATTTTGATGAACAATATTGAACGCTATCTAAAGGTATCTTATGGCATATTTTTGTTTCACTAATTCTTTCATTTCCAGTTGCAAAAATTATCAAAGCATCATATTGTATGTACTTATTAGGAGCTTTTCAGTAATTTTTATAATGGATGATTGGCTAATATGTGTCTTGGCTTAATAATTGTAAGGTGTATGATTATGGTATGTTTTTAAACAAATTTTGAATTCTTAGTTTAAAATAGTTTTACTGCTTTAGTTAATACCAAAAGTTTAGACAAAATCCTCACAGCTTCTCAAAACCCTAAAGCCCTGTATTTTCAAGCAACCTAATAATTAAGAGTTTAAGCTTGTATTGTCTAAAGCTTAAGATACACATCTTCTTCTTTGAGTGAATTTCTGACATGACAGTCCTCCCTTTTTTAAAAAAATGGATAATTTAGTTCATTTTCCTGTTGAGGCTTATATGTTAGCTAAGTCATCCTCTTCAGTAAATGTCTCTCGAACACAGTATTTTTGAGGCACTGGAGATAGGAATTCCTATAACACAAGGTACTGGTGTTTGAAAAGCCAGCAGTTCATTTGGGAGTGTTGAAAGCAGGTGAAGACCAACACAAGGCTTTGTACCATGTGAGTGATAAATTCTGCATGAAATCAGAGAAGGAAGAGTGTATTTTTAGGGTTTGGGACAGTTAGGGAAAATACTTGGAAGATCAAGGATTTGAGCGGAATCTTTTAAGAAATAGAACTTAGACTGGAATAGGGCTGGAGGGAACAGCATGAGTAAATGCTGAGTACCAAGGAATCAGAAATGAAACCCAGAGCACGTTGAATTAGCCCTTTTAACTTGAACTGAGTTAATTAGCCTCTGGAAGCTTGACTTTGAAATCCAGTCCAAAAAATTAGAACTCTTTCCTATAGGAAAATGAGAAAAACTGGTAACTTAGTTAAGTGAGGAATTGGTGGAGTAGATCTGTGCTCTTCTCAAGGAAATGTTTCCAGAGATTTGCTGACCATTCCTGTAAAGGAGTTAGTGCATGTTTGAAATATAGACCATTAGCACTATTTATTTAACCATTCCATTGTTTGATCCTTAGGTGGTTTATATTATTTTTCACTATTATAAATACATTTGCTGCCTAGAATATCCACGTTGTAAAGCTTAATTTTAAGCTGTACTCTTCCCAAGCTAAGCTTTATGAACTGTAAAGAGTGAAACACTTCATTTCTTTGTTAATGGGTAAAGATTATTCCTAGCAAACTAGTTTTTTGGGGTTTTTTGTTTGTTTTTAAGAGAAACACAAGTGCAGTGACCATTGAAAATGTATCTAGAAGTGTATTAAAGTTGTCCACTGGTCACATACACTTTAGTTAAAATGGAAAAACCTGGAAAAATGTTGCAGGTTTAAATAAGGCAATGACGAACAGTAACAACATTGAACTTTGGGAATTAAGGTGGTTTCTTGTCTAGGGGATTGGAGTAGATGGTTTCCAGGGATTAAAGGGTGGGAATGTGACTGAAATTTGAGAGCTTTTAGATGACCATTTCAGTTGACCAGATGAGAGTAGTAAGGACTTTATGGTGGTGGGAGAAGAATTTTCAGGGAAAGGGCAGATAAGCAGGTAATCTCTAAGGAAACCTGGTGACTGGATGTTGGGGAAGAGGGAAAATGAGGGGTTGGAATAACTTCATAATGTTTTATTTTTGGATAACTAGGAGAATAATGAATGGATTGGCAGGGATAGGAAATGTCCACAAAGATGTACTGATCTTGGGAAAAGATAATTTGTTTGATATTTGACCATGGTTTTTAGTATGTGCTGCTGTTTAAGAACATTGTGGTGCCATTTTTAAAACAATTAATTAGATGTCAAATAAATGAAAGTAACTGTCACAAGTTTGGAAAAAAATAGAAGAAAAAGAAAATCTTTCTATCTCACTGTATGGTCATCCTGCAACACATTGCCTTTCATATATTTAGGCTTATAAATATTAGGCCTAATTATTTGCATAATTGAAACTGCATAAGAAAAATTTCGATTCTAGAATTTAGAAACTTGGGGTTCCTGGCTGGCTCAGTCAGTAGAGTGTGTCACTCTTTTGCTCTTGTAGTCATGAGTTTGAAGTGCATGTTGGGTGTAAAGATTACTTAAAAAAGAAAATTAATTTTAAAAAATTTAGAGACTTTTTACTCTGAAATTTTACATATTCAAAAGAATGTATATAATGCATATCAGTATAATTTTACTTCTTTTTGAAATTTATGTAAATAGATTTATCCTGAGTGTTAACTGATTTCTGTTGTTTGTTGTGATTTTGTGATCCATTCCCTGTTGATTTTTTTTAGCTGTATTTCATTATGCTAGGATAAATACCTACCCAGGTGCAGTCAGTGGTCATTTAGGGTCTTTTTAGGTTTTTTGCTATTAATATGTAAAAATCTGATGGGTGTGAGTGGTATTTTATTATGGATTTAATTTGTATTTCTCTGATTACATACTTTTATATATGCTTAGTGGCCATTTCTAGTGTTTCCTTTTTGAAATTCCTATTTGTATTTTCTGTCAGTTTTTCCATAGGGTTCTTTTTCATTTTCTAGACTATTTATTTATTTATTTAGAGCGAGCGAGCCAGCACGCATATGCGAGGGACAAAGAAAAGAAATACAATCCTAAGCAGGCTCCGTGCTCTCAGCGCATAGCCTGATGTGGGGCTCCATCTCCCCAAGCCCTGAGATCATGGCCTGAGCCAAAATCAAGAGTCAGGTGCTTAACTGACTGAGCCACCCAAGTGCCCCTAGACATTCTTAATGTATGCTGGTTACTAATGGTTTTTTTGTTTATTTGTATTGTAGATATCTTGTCCCAATTCAGTGGCCTAGCATTTCCTTCTCCCTAGGGGTCATATGATGAAAAAAGATTCTTAATTTTCAATATAAAAATAATCATTTTTACCTTTATATTTTGCATGGTTGTTTAAGGTACTCCTCCTCTGCGTCAAGGACATAAAAGTTTTAGTTTTGCCTTTCATACTGATTTCTTTTCCCATAGCTGTGAGATAGGATTTCACTGTTGTTGGGGTTTTTTGTTTTATTTTGTATGGATGGCAGTTGTCCTGGCATCATTATGGAATATCAGTCTTTTCCCAATGTACAATGTCCATTCTGTCCCAGATCTAGTTTCCACACATTTGTTTCTAGGTTTTCTAATATGTTCCCAGGTTCTGTTTGTTGATACCTGCACAAGTATAGATAAATGTGGGACAAGTCTCTTTATGAATGTCTTGGCTAGTTTTGGCTCTTTGCTCTTCCTTTATAAATTTAGAATCAGGTTGCAGAGAATGGAAACTGTTGGGATTTGTTGGGGGGACTGCATTGAATCTGTGCATCAGTTTGAGGGGAATTCACATCTTTATAGTATTTCATCTTGCTACTGAGAACATCGTATAGCCCTCCATTGAAGTGAATTCCTCTTTAATGCCTTTTGATAGTTTGTTTTCCTCCATGAAGGACTTGGGTAACTTGCCTAAGATTTAGTCCTATTGCTTTTAATTTTGATGTTACTGTAAATGAGAACTTGTAAACTTTGTTAGGAACTTTCTATAGAAACGCAAATAAATGACTTTATATATTGACTTCGTAAGCGGCAGCCTTGCTAAATATTTTCTTTTATCAAATTGTCAGCAAAACCAAACTTGATATTTATATTTATATTTTTTCCATAAATCTTATAATTAATAACTAATTTTTTCTGAAATTAACACAAATTTGTATTCCTGGAATAAGCTCACTTTTTGCATTGATTATTAACCTTTTTATACATTGTTGGGTTCATTGTGCTAAAATACTTTAAGGACTTAGAGGATCTATGTTAATGAATGAGCTTACCTGAAAAATCTTTTCTGAAACTGTCCTTGTCTGGTTTTGTTATTGAGGTTATGTCAGCCTAATAAAGAGAATGAAGAAGTGTCCCGCCTGTTTTTCTATACCCTAGAATAGTTTAAAAATCAGAATTATCTTGATTGTTTGGTAGGATTTACCTATAAAGCCATGTGGGCCTGGTGTTTCCATTGTGAGAAAATTATTAATAACTTATTAAATGTTCTTGATGGTCTAGATTTTCTTTCTCTTCCTGAGTCTATTTTGGTAAGTTTAATTTTTCTAGGAGTTTGTTCATTTTATGTAAGTTTTCAAATTTATTGCCATAGAATTTTCATAATGTTTAATTCTCTACTGTCTGTAGCATTTCTATTTAGGCCCCATGTTTTTCATTTCCAGTATGGTTTTGTCTTTTAGTTTTGCTGTAAGTTTATCTTTAAATATTTTATTAGTCTTAATGGATCTTTTGAAAGAAGCATTTTTTAGCATTGCTTGTCATTTCTGTTACTTGATTCCTCATTCCATTAATTTTGTTATGATTTTCTACTTTAGATTTTAATATTTTTCTGTTTTAAAAGGGGTTGACACAACTTTACTGAATTTTATACAGTTTCTTTTTGGAACATTAAAGTATCACTTTATTATCTCTTGAAACATTCTAAAGTTTATATTTGACTTATTAATGAATTAACAATGCATTATTTTTCTAAATGCCATTGGTGATCTTGAACATAAAAGAAACAACTTTTAAAAAGCATAGTATATCCATATGCATTTTATCAGAAATCCCTAAATCAAAGAAATGTAACCCATTTAGGCACGCGGAATAAAAGATGCTACAGAAATCATCTTTGAGATGTCAAAAGACGAAAGAAAAGATTTCTACAGGACTATAGCATGGGGTCTGAACCGGCCTTTGTTTGCAGTTTATAGAAGAGTGCTTCGCATGTATGATGACAGAAACCATGTGGGAAAGTATGAAAACTTGTAATGCTGCATGTTTTCATGTAATTAGGGGAAATACCTTAAGGAGCTTTCATTTTTTAAAGTATAGTTATGATTAAAACTTTAATTGGAGACAGCTATGATTAGTTTGTTGTGTTAATATTTTTTCTCTCCATTTCCATGTTATAAATATGGAAACCTCATTTTAACAAGGGCTCCTAGAAACTAGAATCTAAATCCCCTTATATATGTCAGATTTTAGACTTAGCTGTCTTCATGCGTCAAACTCTGCTTTGTAATAAAGTAACGTTATAATAAAATGTATTATAGTGGTTAAAGATTTAGGAAGTGTGGAAAAACCTCAATTCATCAGTAACATTGTTCTTATTCAATTTTTTTTTTTTTTTTATAGTATAGCATTTCCTAGGTTAGTGACTTTTTTTTTTTTTTTAAATAAAACCAGAGTGGAAAAATAACTAAATTTCTGAATACAATGCATGGATTTCTGTTATAGGCAACATTTATGGGAAGGCATCTTTTTTTCAACTCAATGATTATACAGTGTTACTAACATATTTATAATTTCTCTTTATATTTTAGGTAGTCATAGGACAGCTTATTAGATACTGCTTTTAAAAAGAAATTGCAATGGCTGTTTTGAGTACTTGCCCAACTAAAGAAAAAGAGCCTTTACATTAAAGCAAGAGTATGGCAGATGTCCATGCATGGGTAGTGGAAATGAAGAGAATTTTAAATTTTTCAGTGCCTTGTGAGAATTCACCATAGATTTGCATCTTGGCTCTGGTTTATAATGTCATGCATAAGTCTTTCGGAATAACTATCAGAGAACCTGAAACCAGTTTTGAAATAAAGGGAAAGTTAAACAGAATAGGAGCAAATATGTTTTAAATGTTGAATTTTCCTAGAGAAAAATATACATTAATTACTTTTGTTACAGCTAAAAGTTTTTTTTTTTTTGCAAAAAAAAATAGAAGCATTAGTTTTAATTTTCAGTCATTTACCTTGAAATTAGTCACTTTAAAAATATTATCATTATGCTAAGTGACTTACCATTTGGCTCCCTAAGTGAAAATCTGATTTTTATCAAGGTTGTTTAGCATTCTTTGTTTTAATTCATCTTTTTAAAAATTTGTTTAAATTTCTAGATATACACCTGAAGAAATTGAAAAGCTCAAGGAGTAAGTTTAACAATTTTTTTCCTTTTCATTAATTCTGATAGTTGGGTTTTACCTTTCTAAAAAAATATCTTTGTGTTTAAAACTTTTATTTTGAAAATGTCAAGAGAGTTTTAGTAGACTGGTATATTTAATCCTGCTGTTAAGCATGAGACCGTAAAAAAAGAACTTTTCAGATCCATACGTGCAGAGTATGCCCATAAATGCCCATAAATTTAGTCTCCTGTTGTGAGCTGCCGAATGAAATGTGTGGCAGACCACTGATAAGGGTTACAGAAGAGACTAGATGGCCATTCTTGGTGGCCTGAAGACTGGACCTCAGGAACTTACATACGGAATTAAAACCAGGGTTGTGCTACTCTGTGTTTAAAATGATGACTTAGCAAATGTTTTACTTAATATCTGGGCGGACTCTACCTTATAAAGGCTATTTCACAGGAAAAATAATTTTGCTTCGTTGAGCAGGGCCATAAAGTATGGGTAAATGGATTGTATGGATCATGGTGAAAATTGAAGGCTGGTCCTTGTTATAATGATAGCACCTTGTGAAACTTTTTCAGATGACTGAGAAGAGCTTGTTAGGAGTACTCAAAAGGGAACAATCTGGGGATTGCCTGGGAGATTGTCAGTAACCTGAGGGGAAATTTGGTCTTTTTTGAACACATATCCAAGTTACTTATTTCTTCTCTGACCCAGGAAAAAGGCAATTGCTGCCTGTTTTTTTTTCACCCACAGACAACTGTGGACCCCAAAAAAAGGCCACACTTTCAAACTTTGGCTCTCAAAGTATTGCTGCCCACAACTTCCAAACCACTCAAATGGGAAGAAGAAGAATGAAGAATAAATGATGAAATTAAAAGGGAGAAAACAGTTGAACCAAATGCTGATTGGCAGACTCTTGTTTTAGGCTCCGGATAAAGCATGGCAATGACTGGGCAACAATAGGGGCGGCGCTAGGAAGAAGCGCGTCTTCCGTCAAAGATCGGTGCCGACTGATGAAGGATACTTGCAACACAGGTACTGTGAGCGCCCCCGCTGGCTTCTCTGGTCTCCATTGGCGCTTCCTGGCCTTTCACATATACCCTGTCTTCTGTCCTGGGAAGAAATTTGTCATTCACTTTGTAGCAGGAATTTAACTCTTAGAAACCTTAGTCTCCAGTGAAAACTAGTAACCAATTGTGAACTCTCTGTTACATCAGAATTTTTTTTTAGATGGCAAGCTTATAAATCCATTAAGCACAAAGCATGTTTTCACCAGTTCCAAAGATCCTTAGGTTTTTTGGGTTTTTTGCCACAAGTCAGAAGCACAAACCTACATCTAGTAATTAGTGCTTTAGCTTCTTATCTTGTTAGATATCCAATGAATTCAATCTTAGTTTATCATGCAAGTAAAACATTAACGTTTTAGGTTACCAAAGACTGAAAGCTATCTTATCAATTACCCATGAAAACTTAAGAGACCGACAAAATTAACTGTCACTTTAAGTCATCCTTTTGTTAACAAATTGGAACAGAGATAACATGAGCTTATTTGACCCTCAGCAAATCAAGGTAGAATAAAAGTTTTTTTTAATGTTAATAAACATCTGTCTCAAACCAACAAACTTAAATTAGCTTAAACACTGAATACGTTTTACTTGAGTCCACGTAAGACAATTTGTTCCCCTTGGTTAATTTTTACCTGCAACGTTGGTGGGGAAATCTGACATCGGTGGTCTTTGTTCCTGGACATCTAAGGTGGGAGGAGGAGCTGATGGTGCCTGAGGCATTGAGGAGCCAGTTGTGCCAGCCGCCCCCCAGGTGGTGCAGAAACAGGAGCGGGGAAGGGAAGGCAGAAGAGACAGGTGCCAGCGGAAGGCAGAGAAGAGAATTCCCAGTTTTAAATCTTGGCAGCTCAGACAGAGGAGCAGACTCCAGGTTTCTTTTGTTTTGTTTGCCACCAGTGGAACGAGACAGTCCATGTCGGTCCTGAGAAGACAGGGAATTTCCCCGAAACAAAAGGAGTTTCGGCAGCTGCTTGGGAATATTCCCTCAAGTCCCCGTTCTGAGGTAGAATAACCAGAGACAGTTGGCTCAAACTATAGTCGTTGACCAAGGAAATGAAGGAGACACAAGTCCCCATACACAGTCACACGGCGACTCCAACCTGCTGCCCAGCAACAACACCTTAGTGTTGCAGCTTCGTTCCTCGTCCTTTGTGGAACTACTAGTGCACCTCTGGGAAGTGATCAGGCTCCCCTTCTGCCTCTTACGGGCAGGTCTGCCAAAACGAACCTGGGTTCTTAAAAGGCTGATGGGCATCCCTGAGCCGGTTCCTGGGCCTCTTGGGTTGCATGAGCACCTACGGGGGTTGTTGCCCCGGTGTGCCAGGAGGGCTGGTCTCCTGTGGATCAAGCGGCCTGCTGGCACCAGGTGAGGCTGCCTCTCCCGGCACCCCAAGGTTTGCAGCCCCGGTGGCAAAGGAGGTGGAAATGCACTGTCTGAATCCCAGACGAGCCCCCCAGTAATGTAGCAGGATTCTCGCACAAAGAGTCATAACACCGAGGCTTTTCTTTCCAGGAAGCAACTTTATTCCTGCTGGCACCGCTCAGTTAGGTTCGTTCCCAAAGAACTGAGCCCCGAACGCCACATGGTGTAGTTTTCTATGTATTTTTTTACTTCGTCTCCCATATATGGTAACACACAAACATGTGGTCTGATGTTAAGTGGTCTCATTTTACAAGGTCTTGAGGGATGTTGTCAAGTAAGCAAATAGCAAGGTTGCCTTGAGGGTTTTTTTTTTCCTTTTCTTTCCTTAGGGAGGGGACCCTACCACAATTTTAATTCAGATTTTATTTTCTAGTCTTGCTTTTTCATCAAGCTTTATAGACCTAAGTAATCCTTCATTTTTCTTTTGTGTGAGATGACACTGTTCACAGGGACACATCTCACTTTTCAGTCGTTTTAGGTATGTACCATGTTTCCTTTTTGTAGCAACTCATAACTGCTCCGGTTGTGAAAGTATTTATCATTAAGGCTTACATACAGGAGTTTGTTTTAATTTAAGCCCATCTAACTGTGGAGCTTATGTTAACAAGCTTATCAACTCAGATTTATAAAACACTTTAGTTCAGGCAGATCACAATTTAAGAAGTTATATTCCAAAGGTGTGGCTCTCTTTTGCTTATTTCAAACAAATAAGTATATTTTTCCATAGAAAAAAACTTGCGACTGTTGTTTCAACCCCCAGACCACAAATGCCTTTTTAACTTTTAACAGATGACACTGTTAAACCTAACCTTTGTGATCAACAACAGTATTTAGACTTTGCCACTAACTCTCACTCAATCTTTCTGAGCCTCAGTTTCCTCTGTAAAAGAAAGAGGTTAGAATGATCTCATTGTTCCCTTTTAGCCCCAAAATTCTCTGAAGGATCCACACTCTGCTCATTCTTTGAATTAAAAAAAAAAAAAATAGTTATCAAGTTAAGCTTTCAGTGTATATATTTTCTGTTTTCACCTCCCTATCCTGCTAAAGTGGAATTAGGAATATTTTCTGAGTAACCATTCCACCAGCACTATGACCTGCAAGACAGTGAGAACAGAAATTCCACTAACTCTTGTTATTCTGTGAATGACAGCTTAATGAATGAAGCTGGAATAGGAGCTTTAGATTTAGGATGGGACCCTAGCGTTTTATGTAAGACATTCGGAGAGCAGAACCCCTTTTGTTAGCATAATAATGGAAAACCACTGCCATTTCCTGATTGCCAGTCTGAGGGATTGATTCGCCTGTTTGCTTTTCATGTTGCTACATAGTATTTCTGATCATGACTTCTCTTTTTTTGTACCACACTATGAGACACTCATGCTAAAGTAGGAGAGCAGGATTTTGCCTTGAGTATGTGGTATCCAGAACTATGCCTAGCACATAATACATGTTCAGTAAATATTTGTTGAATGAATGGAATCCCTGAAGCAGGCATAGTGGCACTTTTGAAATTTTCTAGATATTTTTAGTTACTAATAACAAAATGGAAACAGAAGTGGGAGGGGTAAAAAGTTTCTCTTCTTTTCCTGTTTTCCTGCTTGATCCTTAAGAAAAGACCAAAGAGAATCATTTGGTGTTATTACTGGTTTATGGCTTCAGGAAAGCCTTGAGTAAAATCATGTGTGAGTGCCAGTCTCAGACTTCTCTTTTATCACAGTTTCTTGGAGTTGGGATGGGGGGAAAGGAGATCATGTAAACCTAGTTTTCATTTTTACTAAAATGGGTGGAAGCCCATAGGAGTTACACCATTCATTACTGTAATGAAGGATCTCTGTTGGCTTACTACATTTCTGCAGAGCAGGAATCTTAGGTGATACTAAGTAAAAATTGTGTGTTTCTTTGTCCATCATGCCATTCGTGAAGCTCTTCCTACTTAAAATTAATGCAACTTGACAGTACAGAATTCTTTCTAGGTATATATTGGGTAGTTTTTCTTTCCTTTAAGAGTCGGTCATTGTTTTCTACAAGACTCTGTATTTTCTTTGATACCAAGAACCTTACTGGGCTAGTATAGGCTAGTAAAACAACTGTCTTAGTAGATGTGTGCAGTTCCCCACCCCCGGGTCATTCAGAAATACTTTGGGTGTTACTGTGTACTTCCCATCAGTCCTTGGAAATACAGGGCTGAATCTGATTTGGAAAAAAAAAAAAAAAAAGGTAGCAGTAGTCTAGATGATTTCCTTCTTTTAGGGAAGTGGACAGAAGAAGAGGAAAAGAGACTTGCAGAGGTGGTTCATGAATTGACAAGCACTGAGCCTGGTGACATAGTGACACAGGGCGTGTCTTGGGCAGCTGTGGCAGAACGAGTGGGGACCCGCTCAGAAAAGCAGTGTCGCTCTAAATGGCTCAACTACCTGAACTGGAAACAAAGTGGAGGTACTGAATGGACCAAGGAAGATGAAATCAATCTCATCCTCAGGTTCGTGTCCTAGATCTTTTAATAACAAAAGCTGCTTAATGGCTCTAGGTATCTTGATGGATTTTCCTCTTTGGGTCTCCCTAGATGCCTAATGTCTGAAAAGCATCCTTTCCATAGAGAAAGGATCCATAGAGGATCCTTCAGATCCTATGTATTTCATATTGAGCTTTTTTTGTTTTGTGTTCCTTTTTAGTGGATTTAGTGCTCGTGCAAAGTAGCAGATTGAAGGCGTAGAGACTGAAGTCCTCTCTATCCACAGAACAGGTATGGCACAGGCGGTGGCCCTGCAGCTTGCCACCGCCCCAGCAATGTGCCTCACTCCTAGCAGAGGGAGACCGTGTCAAGGGGAAGAGGGCTGTTCAGTCTCCATGCCCTTCACTCTTGGGCTGTTTGGATTGCCAAGAAGGGGGTTCAACTACAGTCACCCCACACCTTCATACTGGGCCGAATCAGATACTTCCATTTCACATGTATCCAAACATAGCTACAAGATAATCCTAAGCTTCTTTTTTAAATTAGTCGTTTAACCATTAAGAATCAGTGACCCAAATGAGCAAAAATACCAGCAAGAAATGTTTGAGACCTTGAAGTAATAGAAGCTACTCCCTCCTGAAAATCAAAATCATCATGACAGTTGAAGCTAGAAAACAAGTAGAGTGTTCATACCCCCAAAATTTAGTTGTGCTATTATAATGGTTGTTAATGTTTTGGTTGTTGCTGGAGCACTGTTTTTGTTTTTTCAACATTTTATTTGGGGTTTTGTTTTTAATACACTTTTTGCAAATAGTCGTCTACAAATAGCTCATTTCTAAACATTTTTAGTATAGAAACGGAAAAGCTCAGATGTAGGAAATAACTTGCTCTAACACACTATAAAACATTGCAGAACACTATACAACTAAACCTGCTCTTATCCTGTTCTAATAACCTTTAGCTACTCCCTTTCCTTTACAGTGTTTCATCTGGTTGTCACCATTTACACTCGGGCCCATCAGTTGCACCATTAACAAAAGGCTCTTGCTGGTGGGATTTCATAGCTCTCAGCTCTGGAAGCAGTGTGCACTCCTGGAATCCCTTCCTTCCCATACACCTTAACGAAGCATCTCCAACATAAGTTGACATTCCCTTTATTGACATTGCCATCACGTGTAGTCAGAGGAGGTTTCTTACAGAGAAATAAATAACATGTAACAAATGGTTGTTTTAACCTGTAGGATAGCAGAGCTTGATGTAGCTGATGAAAATGACATAAACTGGGATCTGTTAGCAGAGGGATGGAGCAGTGTCCGTTCACCACAGTGGCTTCGAAGTAAATGGTGGACCATCAAAAGGCAAATTGCAAATCATAAGGATGTTTCGTTTCCTGGTAATGTATTATTTGATTCTTAAGTCCTTCCCAAGTCTTACCATTTTTACTCCTCAGGACTTACTTAGAGGTTAGAAGTTCTTTGCCTCAGCTAGAGATCTGAATCATGGCAGAACTTCATTTAAACCTCTGCCCTATTTTGGGGGGCAACTGTCTTTTCTTCCCTTAAGAAGAGTTGATGTGATTTGTAATTCTTAAAGCAGCTGAGATGAAAATATACACAATTGACATACATTCTTGTTCTCATATAAACTGTGAAGAAGAAATTGATTTTAGATATTGTGTACAAAGATGTATTTTTGAAAACTTAGGTTTAAATCAACTTTTATGTGTTGAATAATTTCAAATATCTTAACTGGGTTTGTCATTTAGAGAAATTCCTTAGTGGTTTTATAGTACAAAGACTAAATTGTAATTCGTTTGTTATCTAAATCTAGAGATATTAACTTGGGTTTGCTTAAAATGAGGCAGAGTACATTTGGCTCTTCATTGCCTGCTTTGCACGTAGGGTGTGCATCTAAGTCGTACAGTCTGTTTAATTAAGGTCATCAAATTCATTCCCCTTGGTATAGTTCTCCAACTTCCCATTTTTCCAAAGGAAAATTATATTCTGAAGAACTCTGGCTTGATGAAAATATATATTTTTTTAAACACATAAATTTATAAATCAGGTGTTAAACCCAGAAGAGTGATGAATACTAATGTGACATGAACCCACCCAGATTTTACTATCACCTGAAAGGGCTTACAGAGTTTATCATGACTAGTGGAGGGTGACAAGTGTAGATTTTGCTTTCCTGTACAAGAATTCAAGGTGGTTGCAGAGTACTGTTTGCTAAAGATGAGCTGCTACTCTGGAGGTGTGAGTTAAGTGTCCTTGAGTCCCGGAGGGGGTTGCAGGGCGTACACTATTCGTTTTGAAAAGAAAATAAGCTACTTTGCATTAACAATATTCTTCTTAAGTAATAAGAATTTTATCCTGAAGCCTTAGGACATTGAAGAGGTCTTATTTTCATGTTCCACACAGGGTTTTGTGTTTTTTCTAATGCATCTTGGTTGACAAGAATAATACTATGAATTTTTTTTAATTTCTTGTGATGGATAGTGTTTCCACAAATTTCCAGACAGGTTGTAGCCTTAAAATATTTTTATTACTATTTTGCTGAGATCTCACATGCAGTATACAATTATTTATTCCAAATACTTTCCCTCCTTACCCCCACCTCCCTTGCTGCTTAGATGGTGGTCTGTCGGAGAATCAATGTTCTTTTTGTCTACCCATCTCCCTTCAGTCTTAATAAAAGGTCTTAAACAGTTACATGAGAACCAAAAAAACAACCCAACGCTTTTGGAGAATAAATCAGGATCTGGAGTTCCAAACAGTAATTCCAATTCCAGTGTACAGCATGTCCAGATCAGAGTCGCCCGCTTGGAAGACAGCACAGCCATGTCTCCAAGCCCCGTGGCAGCCTTGCAGATTCCGGTCCAGATCACCCATGTCTGTAAGTGTTTATTACTCAAGACCCCTTGCCATTATGGGACCTATACAATTTGTTAATGGCTTTACCATCTAATACCCTTCATTCTTCTAGAATGTGGATAGAAATTTGTACAAGTTGACAAAGGCAGTCCAAGGCATTTTATGTTTATTAGCTCAATATTTGCACAAAAGTTGAGTGTGACAGGAAGGACTGATAACCAACTGCCCAGCCTTCATAAACCATTTGAAATCCTTTCTTTTAGATGTTACAAAGAATGATTAATAAAACACTACCTGAACTCTAGTCAGTTTAGTAAGGAAATAAACTTCACAAGGTGGCACATCATTTGTAGTAATTCACCAGAAGGCACAGGGATTGGGGGTGGACTTGAGGCCATATGTAGAAGAAATGGTTTTGATGAGATTAAAGACTTTCTTCAGGAAGTGAAGAGCCAGTTTCCTGTGGGAACTGTTGTGTTTACCCTTCTTTTCCTTAGCCTCTGACATTTTTTGTGCTTAAGGAGATTATGAGAAACCAACAGTTGGTATAGGGAGGGAAACTTATTTCCTGAGATCTAAACCAGGTTGATATTTCTGCCCTTTTTTCCATGATAGAGTAACAGAAAAAGAATGAAAATAAAATTCTCAGAACCATATTATTATTCACGTTCACCTCATTTCTTTTCTCTCCCTAAATGCTATGCCTATGGCAAGGTCGTTGCCGAGAGTATACCAATTGCTGTGTGTCATTCTCAGGGGATTATTGGCATTTTGAGTGGGACAATTCATTGTTACCAGGGCTGTCCTACACATTGCAAGATGCTCCTTGTCCCTTGACCTCACCCACAGAATGCCAGTAATACTTTCTAATCATTATGGCAAAATATAAAAACACCCTACAGGGTTTCAAATGTACCCTATGATCCCATTTTGAGAATCACTGAGCTATCTATTGGTGGTAGTAACACCTCCTGTATCCAGTGACTGTCAAAGTTACCTTGGATCTTTAATCATGCCTGTCTTACAGTCCTAGTTTAAGTTTGGTTATTTGCATTAGCTTTCCACCAATGTAATATAAAGGCATGAAAAAATTCGTTAGCCCTGTTTATTTTCCTTTATAGTATGAAGAAGTGCAAAGCAACTGAAATTACTGGTCTGCCACAAATATGAGAGCTACTGTTGGCTATAGATTGTGCAGAGACTGGTAGAACTTTCCTTGGACATTGGAATGACTATAGTTACTGGCAATACAGGCATTTTAGAATTGGTACCCTAATATTTACAAGATGGCTTTTTTTTTTTAAATATATGTAGAATAATTTTCTTTCAGCAAGAAATGTGAGTACAGTAAGAGTTTTACAACACATCAGTTACTGTTTGCATTCAGGCTAAAATCTCAGGATTGTTTTTTCCTTTGTGTTAGGAGTCAGGGATTGTTACACTTTAAGCCAGAATAGTAAATATAAACATGGTAGGGTCTGGAGCCCACATAGGTCTTTGTGGAATATTCTGGTTTGTTTTTAAACAATCCTGTAAAAATGTAAAAACCATTCTTCGCTTTGGGCCACATCTGTCCCTGCCCATAGTTTGTTTACCCATGACTTAGGTTATTTATTGGGAATCACTTTAAATTATTCTAGGTATGATCTTAAGAATCCATCTAATAGAGAAATAACATAAATCAAGTGCATTTATTTTGAAAAGGGTCTCTTCCTTTCTCACTGAGATGTATTATAGTTGTAGTAAAAACTACAGATTAAAAGCCGATTCCAAATCTTTTTTTCACATGGGTTTATCTGCAGGTACAATTGAAAGCACCAAGAGATAACATGTCTTCTAGTTATAGTTCCTAATAACCTTGATCAGGTGTAACCAACACTGCCCAAGTTTAAATAAAGCCTCAATTGACACATCTATAAGGAGATTATATGATGTGATCTCTAATGAGCTGTTCAGTCTCCCATATGTGGTATTCTGAAATAGTACTCTCTTATATTTCATGTTTTTGGTCCTCCCAACAACTCCCATGATGTAGGAAGGACAGCCAAAATCTCTAAACATTAATAAGTTAAGTTCAAATTAAGTTACTTGCTCAGGTTTACATTCTCAGAAGTAATGTTGCTAGAACTAAAGCCTCGTGTTTGGGGACTACTGTTCCAGTCATCTGTACCGCTTACCAGAATATCCAGGGAAAATTTATTTTTTTTATCCACTTTCTCTTGCTTTGTAAGTTAGCCTTAGTGTCTTCCTCTTACTTCTTAACACTAGAAATATTTTGTGATTAATACCAGGGGTTAACAGGTACTGTATCACAGCTAGTCATCTCTGTCCTTGTAGTGCAAAAGCAACCATAGAAAATAAACAGGTGTGGCCCTGCTCCTCTAATATTTTATTTACAAAAACTGGTAGTGGGCTGGATTTGGGTTGAGCCGTGGTTTGCCAACCCTGATCTATGCCATCCCAGGTAAATCCATTAGCTTTCTTCTCTCATAAGATTAAATGACTTCAGGTTTCCATGCAAATTATTCAGTATGAGAATATGTCTTTTATTTATTTTGTCCTTGTTCTCACCATAGCTTCAACGGAGTCCCCTGCCGCTACTGTTGACTCGGAAACAATAACACTAAACAGTGGAACACTACAGACATTTGAGATTCTTCCAGTGAGTAACACTGCACAAAATAGATATTGGCCATTTTATGCATTAAAAAAATTACTGGTTTTACACTGTTATCACATGAACAAAAGAAACAGAAATTACCATGAATGGCATAACGTACAACTATGTCCGTGTTTTTGAGACCAGATGGTTAAGAGGACATAAATCAGACTTTCACTTTTATAATTAACTTCAGTCTTTTTTTTCATCTGTATATAAGCCAATAATAATATATGAAAGTGACAGTGCTTAATGAGTAGGGTGCATGCTATGGATTTGTATGGAGTCCTTTTTTTAATTTGCCATTTTAATAATTTTTAAATTTTTTATTGTTTTTAATTTTTAAAGTATTTTTAAGTTGATTTATTTATTTTGAGAGAGAAAGCGTGAGTGGGGGAGGGGCAAAAGGTGAGAGAGAATCCCAAGCAGGATCTGCACTGTCAGCACAGAGCCCGATGTGTAGGGCTCGAACACACAAACCGTGAGGTGATGACCTGAGCCAAAGTCGGATGCTCAACCAAGTAAGCCATCCTGGTGCCCCTGGGTGGAGTGTTAAACAGACACCATGTGCAACCAAAAAGTTTATACTGGTTATCTGAGAAAAGGTTTGTGGAATGAATTATTTCACAGTACTCTCAGTAAATACCATACTAGCCCCTTTGCAAAAGAATCTTGCAGTTCCTAAAAAGGTAAAACAATATAGTTAACATCTGAGCCACCAATTCTAATCCAATATATATTCATTTCTCTTGAAATGAAAGCGCGTTTGCATAAACTTGAACATGAATGTTTGTATTCATAATAACCAAAAAGTGGAAACAACGCACATGTCCATCCCAATGAATGGGTAATTAAAATGTGCTATAGCCACACAATTATTCAGCAGTAAAAAGGAACAAAGGAAGTACTGATAACATGTCCCTGGGATGAACCTTGAAGACATTTTGCTAAGTGAAATGAGATGCAAAATACTGTAAAGTGTTTGACTCCTGTTTCTTTGAAATGTCTAAAATAGACAAATCTGTAGAGACAAAAAAAAAAGTAGATTAATGTCTATTATGAGGTTTCCTAAGAGGTTTTGGGGAGCAATGGGCCATGATTGCTAATTTGAATGGGTTTTTCTTTGGGGTGTGATAGAAAAATTTTAAGTCCTTGTTCTTGTTCTGTTTACTAAAATGGGTAATGCCCAAAATTAGCTCATTTTTCAGGAAGAATATAGAAAGTAGATAGTATTTAAATTATGAGGTATTAGTGCAAGAATTTATCCTCTGCACAGTCAAATCTCATGAGGATGGCCAACACAGCAAGAAGTTCTCTTTTAGAACAATTTTGGAACTTTTACTAGCAACTTACTTAACCTAAGCTTCCACTTCTTAATCCTGTGGTCTCCAAAACAGGAATGTGTTTATTACAGGTGGATAACCTTTGCCAACTCCCTTCCTGCCCCTGGCCAAAGTAATAAATACACATACATTTAGAGTATGTGTCCAGGTTTTAACTTGGGTTACGATCAAGTATTTAGAAACTTCTGTCCTAATTTAGTAAAAGAGGATGATAATAGTGCTTCAGCTTCAAAAAACTGATTATGTGAATTTAAGTGTATTAAATAAAATGCATATATGTAATATTTACTGTCCTGCCTGACCACATGTAATTTACTAAAGGTTGTATTTATTAAAAGATCAGCTTTTACTTCTATGAAGAGGGAGGAAAGAAATTGAGCCCCCGTGTGCCAGACACTCTTTTGTAATAATTTGTAATGCTCACAACCCCTTCCCTGGGGGTTAGTGATTATGCCCCCTTTGCCAATAAGGAAACCTAGATTCATTGAATTAGTACCCAGAAGAGTTGTTGTGACTCAAGTACACAAGACCACAGGCTCTAGGACTTCAGTGTCGCCCTGTCTTTCAAATGCAAATACTTTCCTGTGGGGGTGGGGGAGGAAGGATAAAGCAAACTGAAATTATTCTATAGAAACCTATGGCTGTGAAAGACTTGATGTTGAATAGTTTTGTTAGTTTTATTTAAAAAAAAATCTCCAGAGATAAACATATTATCAGTTAACCAGCTTTTCAAATAGGAATTTTCTTTTTCATTCAGATTTTGAATTGCTATCCATGTACATTTCTTCTTATACTATGAAAAAAATCTGTCCAGGTCAACTCTGCTGTAATACCTTTTCAAAAATGTGAAACTTTAAAAAAGTGGGGGGTTGGGAGGGCGGAGATTGCCAGTTTTATATGTGGTAAAGGAAGATCATGCAGGTAGGTTACTGCACTGGACACAGTGGCTTAGGCAGCCATTCTTGGTGCCTTGAAATAAATAGCTAAGACCAGATCATAGACATACATGGGAGTGAAGAGCAGGATCAGGGCTTGACCTGGTCTCTCTGGTAAATCTCCAGAACAACTAAGGACTTGGGACAAGTCAAGAATATTATAGCCTTCATTTTGTTACTTGATGGCACCTTCAGGATGGGGAAATACGTGTGTGGCTAAACTGAAGTCCCTGTTTTGGATGTAAAGCTAGACTTATGAGTGTACATAAGCGTACTTACTCCGTGTTCTTGCACCTGTATTGATCTTCATTTTTTTCCCTTAGTCTTTCCATTTACAGCCCACTGGCACTCCAGGCACATACCTACTTCAAACAAGCTCAAGCCAAGGCCTTCCCCTAACTCTGACGGCTAGTCCCACAGTAACCCTGACAGCTGCTGCTCCTGCTTCTCCTGAACAGATCATTGTCCATGCTCTATCCGTATGTTATCTTCGTTCCTTGATTTTTCTACTTTCTCTAGACTGGCTAAACTGATAAGTGTCACCAAATGGCTTTTATTTTTAATACTATGATGAAACCCATGTGCCTTCAAAAATAATGTATCTCGGGGGGAAAAATCGATTATGTATTCCCTTCAAGTATCCAAGTACTTGTTAGGGAACAGGATTTGTTGACAGAAAGTTTAAGAACCAGAACTAATGTCGTCCATTTATTTAAACAATGTTTCCTACCACCGTTGCCTTGGGAACAAGGTTTTACACCATCACTCTGCCTTCATTGGGATATAACCCTCATCCCATGTCTGTCCTTACAGGAGATTGACAGGCGTTTTAGAAAAATAGTGTAAGAATTCAACCATTCCAGAGGGGAGAGGGGAGGGGTGGGGAAGGGACAGTAGGGTACCATCTGTAGATGGTATTTTTTGTCTGTAACACGAGTCTGGTAGGTCTTTTTTCACTTTACCATTGTTTTTCTTTAACATTTTATAGCCAGAACATTTGTTGAACTCAAGTGACAATGTCACAGTACAGTGTCACACACCAAGAGTCATCATCCAGACTGTTGCCACAGAGGACATCACTTCTTCCATGTCCCAAGCAGAACTGACGGTAGATAGTGATATTCACTCATCTGATTTTCCTGAGCCTCCAGATGCCCTAGAAGCAGACACTTTCCCCGATGAAATTCATCAGCCTAAGATAACTGTAGAGCCATCATTTAATGATGCTCATGTATCCAAATTCAGTAACCAAAATAGCACAGAACTGATGGATAGTGTTATGGTCAGAACAGAAGAAATCTCTGACACCGACCTTAAACAAGAAGAGTCGTCTTCTCCTTTAGCCCGTGCTTACGTTACTGAGGTAAGTTGCAGCCAGGGAAACAGGCTCTGGGTTCTTGCCTTGAGCCTCAAACCTGCAGTTTTTAAAGAGCCTAAAAATGATCTGGGGGAAGTAAAGGTCATACATCCTCCAATACCTTCCTTTTTTCTCTAGACACAAAATCAAGTGCAAACCCCTACCTGTGACCTCACAAGTATCCGTCAGACAGCAGTATTGCTCTTAGCACTGTGCTTCACTAAAACCTTTCCCCCCTATCCTTCCAGTAGACTGAGAATTGTTTGTTGAAAACCTATGGAATCATTTTCAGGAGGGTGGTTAATAGTAGGTCCTGGTGGTTCAGCTTAACCACCTTACTGACCCCAGTGTAACAGCATTTGTTTCTTCTACATTCAGGGAACCTGTAACTGAATTGCTTCTTTTAGGTTCTGTTTTGTCAGTATTTAAGAGAGTAGGGGGTCATTACTTTTGCCCATTTTAAGGCTTCATTTTTCTTTGCTTTATAAAATATGGGACAGTGTTTGAATTTAAGTCCTTTTAAACCTAAATGTGTTAGGGATCTTAAAACTGACAAAGAAGTCAGAATCTGATTTTTTTGAATTGCTATTGTTTAGGACCTCGAGTCTCCTACCATAGAAGAACAAGTTGATCAGACAACCATTGACGATGAAACAATACTTATTGTTCCTTCACCACATGGCTTTATCCAGGCATCTGATGTTATCGATACCGAATCGGTCTTGCCTTTGACGACGCTAACAGGTACTATAACAGAACTGCATCCTGTGCCTGCTACATCTTAAGGGGAAAGTCAGGCTCCTTAGTTCTGTTGTTTTAGTCTTGATCCAACAGTAGTTCATCATCTTGTTTAACTTTGCACTTTGGTAGAGTACTTACTCTAACTTCTTGACCTGGTTTAGAGTACATACACTTAAAACTTAACTTCTTACAGATCCAATACTCCAACATCATCGAGAAGAATCAAATATCATTGGATCATCTTTGGGCAGTCCTGTTTCAGAAGACTCAAAGGATGTTGAAGATTTGGTCAACTGTCATTAGGTAATTCTTAAAAGACAGGTACCTCAGGCAAAGAAGCCACACTGTTAATTACATCTCCAAAGAAATAGGAGCAACTCCCAAGAGGCTGAATTTACCATTCCTATGGCTTTTAAATAGCTACAGTGCTGAAGCCACATACAGTGTTGCTGCTATGACTTTTTACCTCCTTTAAATGGATCATCTGAGGTCTAGTCTTATGACAGTGTGTAGGTGACTCGAGTATGGAGGACTTAACTGCATAGATCCCTGTGATTAGTGTTAATTGACAGCAGGGAATTTCATTCAGCTACTGAAAAAAAGTTTACAATCACCAAAGCTTAACTACTCTGTTTTAAAAGCAGTGATATTCATCTCTGAAGATCAGACATGGCTCTATCCATTCTCAAGCAGGCCTTTTCATATTTCAGAGAAGTCCTGTCAACATGGTGTGGAGCTTATCAGCGACCCTCAAAAATGTTAAGTATCCTTAGTCTGAAAGTTAACCAGCATACACACACACACACACAGAGACCTAAGAGACGATTGTGTGGCGGTTGTTTTTGGTTTACCCATTGCTGGCAGTGGGAGCTGATTTAGGCTGGGTACACAGAAAAGCATTAAAAGAATTAAAATTCACTACAGGTTTTTTACTACTTTTAAAGGGAATATGGAAGAGAGTAGCAACACAGCTCACCAGAAGCTAAGCAGACTTTTCACCCCTTCGGAACCCCCCGTTGTTGGTTTACAAAGTTAGCACTTTGAAGTAAAATTAAACTAAATGACAAAGGAAGGAAAGTTGCCTACCCCATACCAGGCGTGTTTCTTACACGTTTTGCTATACAGATGACCCAGGAAATAGTTGAGGAAGGTATTGCAGTCTGCCCTTCACTTTAGTGCATTAGCTGGTGGGGTGCCACTTAACTTCTCCCTCTCAGGCAGTTTAAAAACACAAAATTTGCTTCTGTTAGCAAAGGAAAGAAATCAAGAGTCATTCCTGTATTAGAGAAGGTTAAACCAAAATTAGCCTCTAGGATTTTAATGAACATGACCCCAATAGAAAAGCCACACACACACACACACACAAACAAACAAAAAAAAAAAACTTGTATAAATTATTTTATTTATTACTGTAATTAGATCTTCACAATCAAAGTTGTCTTTTCACCGTCTGTGTTTTGTTAATGTGAAATTTAATTGTAGTTATAAGCAAAAGTTGGTTGCCTAGGGAACAATAATTGTATATTCAGTTTAACAGAAATAAAAGAATATTTGTCTTAAAATGCAAGATTGTCACATAGCCTTTCGCCATGCACCTACATTATAAAAAATTTTAATTTCCAAAGTGAAAATTGCTTGTGCTGTTTGAGCTTTAAGGTTTGGAATGTTTCAGTGCAACATCAGCTCCTTAAAGAAAAAAGCAAAGCAATCTAGGATACGTCTCCCCTGCAAGAGGGAATTTTAGATTTACAATTAACATGAAAATCATGTATCAGACTTGCACAGGAGATTCTTCAGCACACCTGACCCAGCTCTTACAGTCCAAGTGTACAGCTTCGCAGAGACCTGATAAGTGTTTCTCCTCGGCAGCCTCACTTCCCCACGTCATGGAAGTACAGGTTTGCACATATACATAACATGATGAGCGAAAATAAGATGTAGTAAATTAGATTTCTAAATTTCGGTTCTAGGTCTCCTTGTCGATACCAGTAGATCTAAAAAGAAAAGAAGCATTAAATCAAAGTTTAATTAACAGTCACTGGTCCTGGCATTAAAAAATTTTAATTCAACTAATCTTTTTTTCCACTGTGACAGATTTCATCCATATAAACTTTTCTCCCTCAATGAGGCCCTCTTTACTTTTAGTCTACATTCCTAAAGCTAATGCAGCCAGAATGTAATTTTGTTTCCCTTTTTTCTAGTAGTACCGAGTGTCCACACCCAAGATTATGCTTATTCCTGCTTTCTCACCTTTGGTAATGTTCAAACCGATAGTCATCCAGTTATTGACCAGCTATCCAAGAATTTGTACCTTGTAGATGTGTTTTAATTCTATGTGAGTAAGTAAGAAGTACAGCTCTCTTTAGGTACTGGGAAGGAGGGTAACTTTTAAATTCACGGAGCAGAGTCAGATTGCCAATACAAAATAAGAGCTTTTATACCAAACTAGACCCTGTGTGTCATTCCGGGGCATTAGGCCGGGAGGGTGGGGAGCATAGCATCTCTGGTAGCTTTGTTCCAAAGGCTCTGGAAGGGCGTGGGCCAAGTCTCCCTCAGATCATACGAGTCGAGCAAACAAAGTCAATTAGATAAACACATCACTATGAAGATATAAGCCCCATGTGAATCAAAACTATTGTTTTTAAGGGTGTCATTTATAGTATTGGTTCTACCTCTTCTCAAAAGAAATGAAACAACAAGCCGACTAATGAATGACTAAGCCCCTGTCCAATTTGCAAGTGAGGACCTATCACCATCTTTGTTCCTTTATGTAAAAGACAAGCATCTTTATGGTAAAATTGTACATTCTTGTGATAAGGATACAACTGTAGCTTAAGATTTCCCAGGAGATTCTTGGGTTAATTACTTTCATTTGGGTAGATATGCACAGAGATTAAAATAGACTAATTTTGTAATTATCAGAAATAAATCCAGAGTGCTATGTATCTCTTCCCTTAAGAGCAGTACTGGCATTTGCCAAAGCCTGTTGGACCCTGTATGTTGTAGCCCTTGAAGGAAGATGAATTAAGTAAGTTAAACTTAAACCTTAAGTTTTGGCCACCCAAGTCTTAACTCTTTTTTTTTTCCCCCCTTCCTCCTGTTGGGGTTTTTTGTTTTTCACTTTCAAAGGAAAAGAGTTTTCCTTTAGATAGGAACTTAACTTTGAGATTTAAGGGAAAAGGAAACTGATTCCAAAGATAAATAAAATATCTAAAATTAGTAAATACTGAGAATTCTTAACATTCTTGGTGGGGCCAGGACTAGGGGGTAACTAGACACACCCCTTCTTATAGATCTAAGGCTGGGAATCTGTCCTAGGTAGGCACTGCAGCAGTCTGCCCTCAAGGGTTGTCAGTAGTACTCACAAGTATGCAGGCAGTAATACTACTCAAAGAGATGCAGACAGCAAAAAATATATTCAGCGGTTTTGGAGGTAGTTGAGGGAAAACAAAAGCACTGATCAGCGTTACCTGTATGAAGAGAAACTGTGTCAGGCCTTAGGAGTAATTCCAATAGTAGGCTAGACTGGAGTTTAAGCAATGTCCTATTATATAGTATCTACCACCAGGTATGTTAATAGTAAAGTATTTGTAAATCTGTTCCAGTGTCTTACTTCTCTTAGCACTTCCTCTTCCTCTTTCATCAAAGGAGACAAAACATCACAGCTCAGAAAACTAGCGAAGCTCCAAAAAACCCTCTTAACAAAAAGATGAGAAAGCATTTAAACCTCATTCCAGGATTAAGGATTACATTGGAAAAAGTTCAACCTTTGTTATGTTATTTTGAATACTTCAACAAAAATGAAAACCAAAACAGTTTTTGCTGAACATTCTGGAGAATACTCAGGTTTCTAATACACTGGAGTTCTATTTCTACCATAGATAAAACATGATACCCATTCTTTTTATTAAGAAGTCAATGAAACAAACTTCACTAAAATTCGTAGACTTAATAAAAATGTGGCATCTTTAGACCACAGAAAATATAGCTTGTCTTTATTTTACAGTGATAACACCAAGCTATACTACACAGGATGCCGAACTGTTACATGACCAAATAATCTTTTTAAACCAAAGGATAATGAATGTGCTTTAGTAATAAATTAAGGTAGTAGAAGGGGGCAGTTGTGGGTTATGTACAACGTTCCTAGACAAGGCAAACTCAAAAAATCGAGTTATTTGCTGTGTGCTATTTCATATACTCAACTGAAGGTTGAAATCAATTTAGCTCTTCCTGTTACCAACTGCAGTTTTATTCAAGCAGTAATGAAACTGAAAGCATTAATTTAACTATGACTTCAGTACTTCACATGGTCATGTACTGGCCCCTTTTAAGTTTTTTGTTTTTTGGGTTTGAGTGTTAACCACAATACTCAAGTTTTCAATAACTTTGGTTCAGAGCCTGCAGAAGACACAAAATCAAGGTACTTACTAGAATCAATAAGGATGTTAAGCTGCCAACAACTAAATTGATGATTCGATCCTGAAATAGAAAATAATTGTTTAGCCCTGTGATGGATCCACTTTCAGAAAGGTACAATGCTAGCCACTGGGGTGACTTAGAATTAAGACACCAAGGTCCTCCTGCCTCTCTCTGAGCTTGACACATACATACAACTGCCAGAAAGGCAAAGTGTACTGAGCCACCAGAGTGGAAAAGGTACTTTAGGAAGACAGGGACAACTAGTTGGAAAAAGTTTCTTGAGGCGCCTGGGAGGCTCAGTTGGGCATCCGACTTCCGCTCAGGTCATGATCTCACAGTTCATGAGGTCGAGACCTATATGAGGCTCTGTACTGACAGCGTGGAGCCAGGAGCCTACTCTGGATTCTGTGTGTCCCTCTCTCTCTGCTCCTCCCCGGCTCATATTCTGTCTCCCTCTGAAAGATAAGTAAATATTTAAAATAAAAAAAAAGAAAAGAAAGAAATGGTTCCTTGAAAGGACAGGCCATTTTTACACTACAGTCTTCTGAAAGCTGGGAAGGACTGAATGGGCAAGGGATGCTTATCAATACTCCAACGCACGCTGGGAACAGTCTGAACAGAAGCCAAGGGACGGGAGCCACTAGGATGGCCAGCCCAGAGCCGTGGTGAAGAGATCAGAACCAGACTGCAGGTGATGTTGAGTGCCGTGAGTTTGGACCTACTTGTGATACTGCTTACATGTCCTTCTCTAATGTCATTTACAAGGAGATGCTTCTGCTAGCAGAGGTCACACCATGCCAGGGCTGGAGGCAATCTCAGACCATCTAGTCCAGTGCTTTTCCAACTTAGTAGCAAAAACCTTCAATACGTAACACAAGTAGAATCATATGGCTGAATTTGCAGCCTGGGGTCCTACCCATTGAGCCTTCTCTTCATTCCTATGCCCACCCAAACAATTCCACAGGATGGTTTGAAATTTTTCTAGGGTACCTGGGTGGCTCAGTTGGTTGAGCATCTGACTTTGGCTC